TATACATATATCAATTTCTTATATTATTTATTTTATATAAAATGACTCAGCTAAACATAAATAAAATATAAACGAGTGTACTTAAAAAATATTCAAAGAGTCATCATTTGCAGTAAATTCAATCAAGATAGACCTAATTTTTAGAAAAAGAAGAATATAAGACTTTATATATATATATATATATATATATTATAAACGCATAAGATTAAGAATGCTTAATTTAATCTCTCTCCACTTGGCTGTACATAAAAGTTTAATGATATTTCATATACATTCTACTTATACGTTGAATCATATCGTACAATTTTTGAAAAATCTTTGATTATAATTTGGACTAATTTATTTTTTGTAATTGCACAAAATGATGCTTTTCAGACATTAAATACCTAATTAATTTGTTGTTAGTCATTTGAAATAATAAAAATGTATTAATTATAGATATATACGTGAATACATACATATGTACAACGTCATACCTTTCTACCAATTATTGACGAACCATCGACAATAAAAAATGTCTACTTCGAACACTGATATACATTAAATGTGTTCATTGTGGAAGCACCAGTTAGGTTCGTTAATGATAAGAAAAACAGAATGATATGATACAAAATGTGAATCTCTCTCTCTCTCTCCATTTTTGTTTAAATAACATATTTCAAATGATTGATCTTTCATTTCGTGTTTCCTTTACTGTACAGACTACCACAACTCTGTTTCTAGAAAATGTTTATCAAATATTTTCTCAGTCTTTGACAGTGACTTTCTTCAATTTGCAAATACTTTGTATATGTATCATAAACGCTTTCTCAATTTAAATATTTTTGGCTATTTTGTTAATAATAAATTTAGCTAGAGAAATCTTCTGTGTCTCCCATTTCAAGTACCAAATAATCGGTGCGATGTATAAAGATTAAATATAGTACTTAAAATTTGTTCAATGTCAAAATATGACTTTGAAAGTTAACAATATAATCTCATTTGTCTGTACAGTGATAATGTTTTGTATGTATGCGTGTATATTAGTGTGTAAGAAAAAATCGTCAAAAATGTTAATATTAAAACCACTGAGAAAGAATTATAAGATAATTTATTGTTTGCTATATGTCAAGTTCAGAAAGATATTTTTTAAAGTTATGAGTAAATATTCAAGTATTTATTTAGGTTGAAAGTTAAAATGTTTTGTTCCAGTTTTTAGAAGGAAAACTAAGAAAATTGTGATACGAAATAGAACGTAACATTTTGTCTTTGTATAATTATATGTATAAATTATAATTATATTAAGAACTATATATTTTGTGCTCTTATCATTTATATTATGATAATAATATAAATAATAAAAATTATAATTATTCTTTTTTGTTTAGTGTAATCAAAGTATAAATGAAAATATAGTTTTCAGTAGTTTTAATATTAAATCAATAGTGACTAGAGAAAAGAAATATAATATTGTGCTTATGATACTTTTAGAAACACATTCATCAACGACTTATTGACGATTTAGTAACAGATCGATCAAAGCAATCAACGTAAGTCTATTCGATTTTGAGTGTCCACTGTATATTCCAGTAGAGTGTACTTATATACTTATGTAAATTGATACACATTGACGTAAGACTAGAATATTCTTATAAGAGTTATAAACGTTGTTATTATTCCCATTATTCAATGATCGAAATTGAAACTTATATAAAACGTCATATATGTGTTATTCTCTCTGAATATTTATAAAATATATCGTGCGGTATCATTTGAAATATGCAAAAAAAAAAAAGAATGATTTCGAAGAAATATATATATATATATAACGAGTTTCACCTATAATATATTAAAATTATCTAATTTCTTTTTTTAGATAATATGTTGCCAATGCACATTTTCATTTATTATATAACTTAATAACAAAAATTGTTATCGCATCTATATACACATATATTTAATGTATTATTACTTTAAAAATTAGATAAACATCATTTTGAATAATCATTTAATTTCAACAAATTAACTTGAATTATTAAGATAACAAAAATTCTTTTGTTTTTTGTTTGTTTCATTTTCACTTATGGAACATATATATATAAAGAAACTATTTTAAATAAAAAGAAAATAATTCTAAAAGATACCTTGTTTTAATGATAGAAGCGAGGATGTCTGTGTGAATCTTTGATTAAATGTATCATTGAATTGGCACAATTTCATGGAACATATTATTTTTGAATGACCATTCTTATCAACACAATTTAATAAGTTGTGTTTCCTGTATATTATTGGCGTAGAAACTTTAAGATCAAACTGTTAGCTCATTATCAATAAGAGCTGATCAGTATATGTTTGCATTTATATGTTTATCTAGAGCGCTAGGACGCTCGTAGTGGCAGAGGCTAGACAGCACATCCTTTTCTCGTGCCATACAAGATTTTTAATTCCGGTACAATAATTTTTTTAATTAGAGCATTCGTCTTAGCAGTTAACATTTCTCGATGAGGATCCTTTTTGAAGATCTTTATACCGGGACGATGAACCAAAAAAGCGTTGTCCAGAATGAGAAAGTCGTAATCAAGGACACAAAGTGCGTAACCCTAGTGAATATGTTTTAATGGTCAGCCAATATTTCATTATTTTTATTCATCTTATTTATTCTTTAAGAGATTTCAATAAATATATACTTAATTATATTACCATGATAAAGCATATTCAGTAGTTTGAGTAAATATGGTATGTATTTTATTAAATTACCACGATAATAAAGCATATATAGAAATTTGAATATTTGTTTACTTGCACTACCATGATAGCATATCCACAAAGAAATATTTTTATAAAATCAATATTATTCCCATTACTGAACTTTCTTATTTTAAAATACGTTCAAATCATGATAAATAAATTATATATATCATATTATAAATCATATATATATATATATATATATGATTTATAATATGATAATTGATGAATAAAATAATAAAAATATATGTGTGTATATATAAGGATGATTGTGGGAACTGGGTCGTATTACTGCTCTATTTTAAGAAAAAATAGAAGAAAATGATAGAGAAAAACATCATAGGACATAATATGTCTTGGATGCACCATCAGATGTAATAACATTTGATTTTCTGACCCGTTCCCAAAGTCATCTTGTATATGAACGAATAAATATAAGAGGAGAAAAAATACACTTATCAGTAATCAATCAAAATCGATGATAAAAAGAAAAATACATACCTGGGGCATCTTATCACTTTTTCCTTCCCAACTGAGTCGTTCATCGTATAAAGGTTCTTCATTAGTTCCTATAAAAATAGGTTCCCAATGAACGAAGCTACCCGTACGTTTTCCAACGTGAAATACATGAAGGCCTTCGGTTTCAGGTGCTTCCTGCCATTCCTTACTTCGTGGAACGTTATGACAACCGGAACAAAGTTTCTTATGAAATGGAATAGCTGTTCCTGCTTTCAACATTTGTACCTACAAATATAATATAATATAATATAATAAAATATATATATAATACTATATATTATACATATTATATACTATATGTAATATATAATATAATATAGTATTGAGAAAAACCAATAAGTATATGTAACATATATATGTTACTTATGTTAGGTATTATATATCACATATTAAATATAGATATAAAGTGATATAGTAGAACATGGGAAAGAAATCTAAAAGTTATGATTTGAAAACTGGTAAGAAAAGGGAGACGAAGCGAGACGAGATAACAGCATTAATTCCGTCCCCATCATGGTCCACGGTCAAAGGAAGCTTCGTTGATTAAACGACCCTCGCACGGCGTATATATTATAGAACATATACGTATTATACGTGCCAATGTAAATACATATATACCTATATTCATATATATATATATATATTGATACTAAAGTGAGAGTCTACTAACGCATACATTCACATTCAAGTGGACACGTGTGTGTATATCAACTCAACCTACGTATAATACTTCTCTCTCACTCACTTTCCTAACTTTAATTGCCATCAAGTTCACTCGGTCGACCATCATCAACCACGGAAACACACTCAATAATGTCGCAGCTCTTTATTATGGCTAATAAAAATACGCTCTTTTGTCAAAAGCTTACCAAATGAGTTTTATTGTTCGGCGGCCGATACTTTTCATTAATTTCGAAGATTGACAAGACATAAACCTTAGGATTAGATTTAAGTAATGCCGCTTGATCCCTCTTACGAATCATTTCAAGAAACTTTTCCGGAAGATTTGGACTTGGATATAATTCAATGTCACTTGCAAATACATAATACGTTGGTGCAGATTCTCTTGCTATGTTTCTTCCAACGTTAACGGGATAAAGTAATTTCTTCTCGTTTTTGTACATCTTCGAAAGAGTTATATTGACCCAGGGTGGCCCCAACGTACAATTGTACGCATCAGACATGACTTTTTCCGATGGTGGAACCTAATATATTTAAAGTTCATTAATATTAATTGATTATGACAATAATTTTGAGCCAAATTATGCACAAAAACTTATTAAATTTCAATCTGGTTTTTAATGAATTAAGTTAAAAAATTTTAATAATAAAAAAATAAAATTAATTTATTATTAGAAAAAAAAAAACTTCCAATCTCAAATAAAGAATGAATAAAGAGAAGAGAAAAATAGAACGTTTATTTACCGATTTTGGCACGTGTTTACTGCTGAAAAAGACATGAAATGTCACTAATTGAAAAACCAATGGACTACCACAATTTCTGGAATATTTGATCGCGTCTAGAGTCGCCGAAAAGTCTGTGCCAGGAGCATGCATCGCGATCGATATTGGTGCTCTCCAACGTTCTAACAAAGGTTCCAAGTTATCCAGAAAGGTATAATCGGCATGAGTAGTGTAAGTTACACTTTCCCAGCATTTAACTTTCATACTCATAGGTACGTAATTATATAGAACCCAATAGTCACCACGTTGAGCTCTTCTAGGTTCTAATGATTTTTCATTGCAAGATATGGCTTCCTTCAAAGTGGCAGCTGATTCTGGTGCTGGTGCTGATGCTGGTGCTGATCCATTGATGTTTTTCTTTTATTTAAATGAAAAAAAAATTAATAAATCAAATTAAATGAAATACTTCTGAGATTACATTTAATCATCACCATTAACATCATCGTTATCATCACATTATATATATAAATCTTTTTATCATTAATAGTATATTGAGCAAACGATCAAAAAATGGTTTAATATATATATATACATACCGTACGATTACGAGCACGAAGATCGTCTCGTCCAATCGTATCGTCAAGTACTTTGTTGACCTTGGCCTCCTTTGAAGTGGGTTTTATAGTGACGATCCCTCCAGTCATTTCGTTCATCGAAACATCTTCCTTCTTGTTTCTTTTGTTTGTTAAAAAGGATGGGATAGGTGATAACAATGAAGAAGAAGAAGAAGAAGAAGCAGAAGAAGATGATGATGAAGAAGACGAGGAGGAAGAAGAAAAAGAAGAAAGGATAGATATCAATGTACCATTCGAAAGACGATCAACAGATGATGATGCTCCAGCAACAACAGTTCCACCAGCACCACCAGCAGTACCAGTATCACTAACAATACCATCTTCTTGAAGAATCGAATTTCTTGAACCTTGTACTTGTGCTGCAGGTGGGGCTGGAGCTGGTGGTGCAGCAGCAGCCCAATTGGTTTGTGGTTCTTCAATCCAAGGGCCGGATGAGGATCCAAAATGTGCGCACACATAAAGGAGTACGCAGACGTTAAGCACCACCGATAGGCGTAAAGCCCAATTTCTCCTAGCTATACCGATCATACTCGTATTACAACACGAATAATAGGAGTATGATGGGATTTCTCCTTTTCTTCACCTTTTCCTTCGTTTTTTTTTCTTCTTCTTTTTCTCCCTCTTCTTCTGCTCGTCCTCGGCCACTCTTCTACCTTCCACTTTTGTCGTTGATTCGTTAATAAACAAATATTTCTTTCACGATCAGCAAATTGCAAATTAACGAATAAAACCTCCTCCTGTTTCTTCTTCTCCTCCTCCTCCTCCTCCTGCTCCTCCTCGAGCCTCGATATTTTTCTTTTACCACCAATCTCTATATTCTTACTTTCCTTCCTATCGGAAGGACAACCTTCGCCAGCCACGATTCTTAATCTCAGAAACTAATTTCGTTCATTTTTTGTGTGTGTGTTCTTCTCTATCTTTCTCTGTGTGCTTATCTGAAAAATAATTAAAATGATTTTTGAATACTATTAGAACAGAATAGGAAATAAATTTGATGAAAATATTTTAATGATTTAAATGATTTTATATTTTTATAGAATATAGTACAATAAAATATAACATAGTATGTTATAACGCAATACATACACCATAGATTAACAAATAATATGACATATTATGGCATATTACATAGTAAAAATAATATTCTGTATGTATAAATAGATAATATGTAAATTGTTTCTTTATTAAATGGTATCATAACGGCCATTATTATTTCTCGATAGTTAGCTAATATTCCGAAGCCTGCCAATAACGAAAGACGTGTTTCTTTTTCTTCAAGGAAATTCTCGAGATCGCAATTAAGGTTTAGCAATCGGTGAGCGAAATCGGTGGAGCTCAAAATGATAGAGTGTGAGAGAGAGAGAGAGAGAGAGAGAGAGAGAGAGAAGGATACAGTTAAGAGAAGGATAACAACGAACGATATCGTGATGATGACTCGTTGTCTCTCGTCGATTGAGGAAACTTTTTAAACACGATTTGATATTATAGCTTTCGATATTTGTTTCTGAAAATTTTTATTTAATAGCAGTATAAGTTATCGAATGAATTAATTTTAATCATTCGAGATACAATAAAAAGTCAACCCTCTAATCTTGAAATCTTATTACGAGTAAAATACTTGTTTTATGTATTAATTTTAAGAATTATTTTAATTTCTTTAATTTTTTTTTTTTTTTTCTTTTATCACTAACGTATCTATATATTTTTTTTTAATTTTTTTTCTATCTTATGAAAAATGATTGAAGTGTAAGAATTTGATAAAAAATAATTCTTACAAAATGTTTCAACACGTTTAACTACATGGAGAGGAAAAGAAAATACTTTTTCTAGGTAATTATTAAAAATCAATTACTATTCTATGAAAATTTTTAAACTAACAATAAGTTATTATCTCTTACAGATTTTTAAATTATAACTCTAAGAACTTTTAACCAACTCTATATATAAATATATGTATAGATAAATAGTAATTATAATTATTTAACTTTGCGATAATTTAGTAGAGTTTTTTCAAAATCATCGAAAATTGTTTAATGGGATAGATAATATGTTTTTAATTACATTCCTTTTAAAATGTTATTTAGGAATGTATGCATGTATTTATATATAATTTTATCAGCGTTCTAATTTCTAGAAAATTTGTGATAAACAGAAAAAAAGAAAAGATAGATATCTTTTTATAATAAACGCACCTAAACGTTGATAATGTAATCACCGGATATGACAACCTTTTTAGTAAAATTTAGGTATCCGGTTAATTGTATGTTAATAAATCTCATTCTCACAAAGTTGTTTGTTTAATTTAAATTAATAATTTTTATGCTCGACATAATATAAAATTCAAAATCAAACAATTTTTAAAATTTGACAAAATTTCATTACCTTTCAGATTTTTCAAACAATTGTATTAAGTATTAATAATTGAGAACAACCGAAGTGTTTGTTAGCAAATATTAAAGAAAAATGCTTTTGCGGTAGTTAAAGACGAACGTTTAGTCATTTAATTAACACTATTATATATCGAAGTATTTTAAAATATGTATGTGTATGTGAGTATTCTTTTTTTTTAATAAAAATTCAAAGTCGAGCGCGCTATTATTTTTTTTTCTTTTTAAATACGACGTAATAACACACAACACATACATATTGTAAATAAGTACGATCACGCAAAACCCGTTCTCTTGTTATATATTACCGGACGCATGAAAAAAAAAAGGAAGAAAAAATAAATAAATTTATCAGAAACTCATACACAGTTATCTCATTTCAATTTAATTTACACGTTAAATATTCTTATATAAAAATGACGAATGAATACAAAATTTATTATAAGGAAAAAAAAACATAATACACAAGAAAACATACACTAAGTTCTTTATTGGGATCTCTAGCACTTGAATACGCTATCTGGTGGCTAAATTCAAAATTAGAGTAGATAGGTCGAATTGCTAAGCCACGTGGGATCTCTAGCACTTGAATACGCTATCTGGTGGCTAAATTCAAAATTAGAGTAGATAGGTCGAATTGCTAACGCCACGCCCCTGCCAGAGATCCCAATAGTTTATTTGTTCAAACGAAATATCTTGCTTTTTTTTCTTTTCATATCCTTCTTTTTTACCGTTTACTTCATTTCGGTGAATTTTAGAAAGTTATTTACAGTTCTTGTTTATTCGATTTCTTATCTTCTGACGATAAAAGATGAGTAAGAAGATGTTTAAACTCTGCGGGATAGATAGAGAAAAGGTAAAAAGAAGATAAAATGAAAGGGGAGGAAGGAGGAAGGCACGTGGCCAGTTTTCATCTACAGAGTGGTTCTCATCAAATATTACTAACTATTTTTATACCCCAAATATCTCATTGCAAATTGAATCAAAAAATGTATTTTTAAAAAATTATTTATTATCTGTACTCATTAATGTTCTCTAATGTGTACATTTTATTTCTTTTACGTGGTAAACAAAAATTAATAATTATAAAAATTTAACTGAAAATTGTTAATAACGTTTAATTCAAATCGTTAAAAAAACAATTATTATTATATTTTATTGAAGATTATTATCTTCAATTATTTTATATTGTTATTATACAAAATATAAATTAACAGTTATAGTTCGATTAAAAACTGTTGTTAACAATTAATGTGGACCACCCTATATAGCAAGAGTAACAGCCCTCGAGGAACCGGTCGCACATCGTCTGGGTTGCGTCGTCATTTCGAAGCTCGACAACCTTGAGAAGAGAGCGTGAACGCAACATTTTCTTTACTTACAATTGCCATAAGGAAGTCTTAGAAAATTAAACGAGCAAGTTCACGGACTCTTCTAGACATTTATCACTTTTGATATAATCGATTGGCGAATGTGACGAATAATTTAAAAAGAAGAAGACAGAAGGATAAAAAACAGAAAAGCGCGCCAACAGGGAACACATTTGAATGTTAACTTTCCTGCTAAAAATTATAGAATTAAAATTTTCTTTTTTTCTTTGTTAACTTTGCTATTATGAATGATTATGCGTTTCTTTAGGTTGCAATTAGAATAGAAATACTAATATGAGAAGAGGGAGTACCAGTTGATATAACATGTGACGAAATTGGAAGGACATCCGCCATCTTGATATGTCAATTTTATTCGCGTAAAGAAGTGATACGTGTGGCTCATATAAAAAACTTACTTACGTATACTAACATAGCGGGAGAAATACGAAGAATTTTTCAACGATGATGTGTTTACTTATTTCTTTTTCTTTTCTTCCCCCCCCCCATAAAATTTGATATTACAACATATAATATAGCCAGATTTAAATTTAATATAGTATATGTTATATACGTTATTACGATAATTTCTTCCATAACTTTTAGTACGGTATATATGGTATACTTACTATACAGTATATAATATTAATACGCGTTATATATATTAAAATTATACAGTATAATTGTAGTTATATCACATATTTATACTTTATAATATAATTTATTAAATTCTGTATTATTGGGATCTCTAGCACTTGAATACGCTATCTGGTGGCTAAATTCAAAATTAAAGTAGATAGGTCGAATTGCTATGCCACGTGGGATCTCTAGCACTTGAATACGCTATCTGGTGGCTAAATTCAAAATTAAAGTAGATAGGTCGAATTGCTACGCCACGCCCCTCCTAGAGATCCCAATACCCTGTTTATGTGTTATCTTAACACTAGATATATCACCATTTTCAGTATACCTATTTCTACCCCACTAGTCAAAATGACTGATGTATAAAAAAAATGCTTTTTAAGGCCTCCAGTTTTTATTTACTTTTAAAAAATAACAAAAAATGTTTAACAATAATAATTTTAATAGATAAATAGATTTATAGACATTTTTAAATAACAAAACGCTTAATTATTTACAGAAATCAAATGTTACATGAAGTAAAAATTTTGAAATTGAATAGTGAAATTGAATAGAAATGAATAGTCCGACCAGTCAAAATAACTGATCTGGTATATCTAGTGTTAATAAAAAAATTATACCGTATAATATACGATTTAATATAAATTTAAACATTTCGCGTATATATTAATCATGCATCATTATTTTATTCGTTTTGTTCATAAACCGTTACAAGGTGTTCTAGGTAATACAAAGGGGAATAGTAAAAGAAAAATAGAAAGAAAAAAGAAAAACGGCCATGACCACAGTTGTCCTCGATGAGTCGCCCTATTCCTAAACGGTCGTTTCACTCTAGGTCTGACGTGGACATCGTCAGGGTCATAGCGTCGGGAAGATTCTACAAATGACCTCCACATCGTTCCTCGTGGAATATGTATGTTTGTCCGAAGTATAGTTAAAGAAACAACGAGAAAGAGAAAAGAGAGTATGAGATAGCCAAGTGGAAAGACATACGGCTAGCCAATGTGAATAATTGATCGTCCTAATGGAACGACATCGTATACCATGACCGGCTTTTCGAGTCACGCGCCCGCGTACAACTTAAAAAACCAAAGTATAAAGATGTATTCTGTATAGCCCGTCTATCTATTTTTTTTACCTTTCTATGATCTCGTACAGGAAAAAAAGCCCCGTTTGTATCGAATTAACTTTACTTTTTTTCCAGGAATACATATATATACATAATTAATTATGTATGGTATATATATATATATATATCTATGTATCATCAATTTGCTTATTTCTAATTAGTGTAAGTGAATCCAAACTATGGTTCTGGAAATAATGGAAATATTGACAATGAATATACGTTTTTATTTGATAGTAAACTCTTATAGGCTTACAATGATATTACTTATTTCTTCCTTAAAAATGGTTATTTTTATAATTAATATGTACTGAAATTTGAAGCTATCGCTTAATTAAATAATTAAATTTGATTTCCACTTGACCATGATAAAATTTAATCAATATTTGATATCTAATCAAATTTAATCAATGTTTGATAAAAAAATATATGTATACATAATGATGTGGAAGGAATATTTATTTTGTTAAGAAGTAGAAATTAAAAGAAAGGGATGAGATATTTGTTCAATCGAAATTGAAGATCAAATATTACCATTTGTCAAATATATATATATATATAAATATAAATATATATATATAATACTGACTTAAATCATAATCACATTATGTGTACATATATATTCATATATAGTAAAATTTTCATTTGTATATTGCTATGACGATTGTATAAACTCATTAAATTTCTTGGAAAAGTAAGATGAGAAAAAAAGAAGAAAAGAAAGAGAGAAAGATATACAGAAAGACAGAGAGAAAACTAAAACGAGAACGAGAGTGAGAAAGAAAAGAAAGAGAAAGAGGAATTTTTAGTATCTAGAGCAAACGTCAAGACGACGAGAACGATGACGATGAGTAGAAATGAATAGAAAGCACGATTCTCATCGTCAATATATATATATATATACATATATGTATATATATAATACTTACTCGTATTATATCTCCTGATTGATTCCAAACAATAATTTTCCAGAATACTTTCTCGAAGGACGATGCGAAATCGAATTTTATCGAAGAGAAAGAAAAGTAGTAGCAGTAGCAGTAGTAGTAATAGTAGTATTGGTGATGGTAGTTGTAGTAATAAAAACCGGCATCATCCGTTATGGGTTATGGGTCGAGAAAGGTAAGAAAAAGAGAATTATAGAATAATAGACGAGTAGTATCCGTGGCACGAAAAAAATGAGATCTACTTGACGTATGTTTGTTTATCTTAGAAAAATCTTGAACACCCTCGAGGATATAACACTGTGTGTTTTCCCTTGACACTGTGCAGTAATAATCTATCTTATTCTTTAGCAGTCGTCTTACTGTCTCTAGTTCTAGTTAATATTGTTATAGGGAATTGTAATTGGCACTCTCTCTCTCATTCTCCCTTCTATCCTGAATATAACTAACACTGTGTTAAGAACACTGTGCTACACTACACCACACCACCGGCATTACAAACTCAAAGTTGCCACCGTTGACGTAGACGTTCCTTCGACACCTTGTAAAAACGTCCACCGATAGAGAATCGGATTCCCCTACTCACTTCTTTGTCTCTATCTTTTTCTTTCTCCCCACCCTTCCCTCTCTCTCTCTCTCTCTTCTGCTCTTTCGCGAGTAGAACGCGTTGTCGACCTTTCCTTAGCGATTTCTTTTGCTTTCGAACGTTAACCGCTGTCGTTTGAGAAGCGCCGGCTTCTCAACGTCGTCTCTACGTATGACGAGTACAAGAATAAAAACTACTACGACGAGAACAGCACGAGAATTTTTATCTTCACTGTTTTTTTTTTCACAAGAAATATATCATCACAGAAGTCACGCTCATCGTAGTAAAAAACACGCAACAACGATATACATATTATAGAATAAAGGTAAAAAAGTTACGTCGAGAGAACTGACAGAGGGATAGGCAGCAGGGTGGTGTATGCATGTTGTGTTTCCTCTTCTTTGCTCTGCTGCTCTATATATGTATGCATGTGAACACAACACCGTGAAAACAGAGAATTCAATTTCAATTCGAATAAATAAATGAATGATAATCAAATAAAATAAAATAATAGAATTAAAAACACGCTTTTATTTAAAAGAAATAAAGCACAGCGCAGATTTTATCTGTTCAGACTAGATTAGAATTTTCGCCATGCTTGTTTGAGAAAAGCACGAGGAAAAAAAAGAAGAAAGAGAGAGAGAGAGAGAGAGAGAGAGAAAGGGAGAAGGGGTATACTTCGTATATATATATATATATATATGTGTGTTATCTATCTATCTATCATTTATCTCTTATTTATCTTTTCTTCTTATTATTTTTTTATATTATTTCTAACGATTTATAAAAAAAAAAAAAAATGAATAGGTAAATGAAAAAAAATATAATGCAATGTGCTTATGTATGTGTAAATCTGGCTAACGCGGTGCAACGAGTTTAGGGAACGAGATGAGAGAGACAACTCGCTCGTGCAACGGCCGCACCACTCGAGCAACAGCATCCGACTGACGACGGGCACGACGAGTGCCTCGCGATCGGTTTGGTCGTCATCAGCAACGCCGACGAAACGTTGGCGGGATAGGCGACACCCTTCTTCTTTCCATCATATTCCCCGATTTCTCTCAAACGAGAGGGTGTTTGTTGCCACCATCGAGACTACCAACACCGCTGCCAACGACCGTTCTGTTAGACCGTTTCTTTTCTATTATCTGTCGATTTAAAGGGGGCGTTTTCTTCCTTCTCTCGAGTAATATCGATTTTAACTTTTAAACTCGAATTTAATCGATTATCTTTTTTTCCTATTCGATTTATCTCGCTTTCTCTCTCTCCCCTCACGCGTTTTTCTTTATTTTTTTTTTGCTTGCACCTATTTATTAGATTAATTATTTGCTTTTATTTTCTTTTTCGCGTTCAGATTCATTAAAATTAATAAATATTAACGTTATATTTATATTTTTTAATACATGAATATTATGTGTGTATACATTACGATTTAAAAATGGAACCATATTGAATATTTTTTTTTTGAAAGAGTGGCGGGAAATTCGTATCCTTATATATTCAATGACTGTTCATTTGTTTCGTGTAAAAAGTAAAAAATATATATATAYATGTATTTCCCTCTCTCTTACACACTTTCTCTTTACTTTTCTTTCTTTTTCTTTTTACATACAGATAAAATAGTATATCATGAACATTTTACTTTATTTTACATTAACTTTGCAAAACGGTTGGCTCAAATTTTAATTTGTCTTTGAAAAAGTATTCGACGGTCTTCTTGTTTCCACATTCCTTGTACTCCTTTTTATATTTTCTTCTATGCAAACTGGCAACGCAAGCAATCTTGCCAATGCCAATGGGAGAGAGAGAGAGAGAGAGAGAGGGAGAGAGAGAGTCGGATTATATAGCATTAGGAAGGCTAGTGCTGAATAGTCAGTGTATATATTACAGCAGCGAATCATAATGGACTTCGCTCGGTAACTTTACATTTTAAATGATTAGGTTTGAATAATGTCACTATTTATTTATAATCCGATCATCGTGTTTAAAACGATACCAAAATTTATTATTTTAAATAACGTCATTCCAATATCCGGCCAAATGTAACGATTTATATGATTCTAAGGTGAGAATAATTTCTAACTATGCTATATTATTTAAAAATATGTTTTACGTTTTTTTTTTTTTTATAATAATAATCATTATGAAATAAATAATCGCTGGTATTTATTTTGATAAGTATTTATAATATAAAATCAGTATGTAATATAGATGATCAATATCATAAAGGTTAATACAAGAGAGTTATCAGTATTTATAATAAAACATTATACAACCTGTGAATACCAGCTTGACGTAATCTTAATACTATTCTGTTCTTATGAATACTAACTAATTGTTATTTACATTGAAGAAAATATTTATATACAGTGATTGCCTTGCAAAGTACTAATCAAATCAACAGAAATAGAAAAGTTATAGATTGTGAAACAACTAGTACAAGAAAGTTAGATTATATTTTCATAACATTTATTAATAAATAAGATAGAGACAACTATAAAACGGTGTGTATAATTGTTCTTATAAGGATATAATATTTCTAAGTCACTTTATTATATTCTCATTCACTCTGTTTTATTCAGGCATAAGGATGTCAAAGCGACTCAGCTTTTATGCTCTGGTTGGCCTGGTGTCCCTCTGCATCTTCTTCTTTGCATTCAATCAGCGTTACAGCAGCTATCTTGAACATCGACTACAGCCGGTATTATCGGTCAGTAATTATTCGGAGGTGAGGATTGCTCTAAATTGAGTCACGCCAAACACACTATTTTCGACGGTAAAATCTAACTCTTCCACCTAACTTTTTCTTGTTTAAGAGCTAACAATATGTTTGTCAAAGCGTGTCTCACCTAGTTTGGTAATGTTCTTTCTCCCTGTTCTATCGTCTATCGCCTATTTATTTTATTCTCTTACATTTTAGTTTCTATGGATTAATTAGCATTAGTTTTTAAAGGGAAATACTTTGACTTTTTTTTACTTTTCTTTCATATCATTAGTTTGATTTTGAAATATTATTTGTATGTTTTTCTAAATATTCTTTTTTTTTTTACGTGTTACACTTATTTAAAAATATTCACTTATCATTATTATTACTAAATTTTCCTAAATTACTAAATCATATATGGTTTTAAGAGAAAGAAAGATATTCATTTTATCATACTTAAAATATTATCATGTTTTTTTCCACGAGCACACAATTAAAAGATTAAGAAACTCGATACTTCTTCGATATAGGACGTTGAAATAAGGCCACGAATCGTCAGAATCCCAGAATCTGTAACGGTAAGCTTAATATATATAAACACATATAATAAAAAATGTTTGTTTTGCAACAATAAATAATATCTGCATGTCATAGTTGAGCCTAATCATAGAAAAATGAAGTATGATGTACGTTTACGATACTTATCGATATCTGGATCGTTTGTTATATAGGTAATTATATGTCTAAATTATTATATTATTGTGTTTTTAATTTGTTAAAACATTTCATGTAAATATATATATAAATATATATGTATATAAATATGTATATATATATATATATGATCATTCTCTATGATATTTGTCATAAACGTCTTACATAAATAACTAAACATTAAATTAAAATGTGTTTTTAATAGCTAAATATATTAAATAATAATTTATTTATACTCTATGCATTTTGTTATAGGCATGCTATTACAGCAATCACTCTATTTACATGGATTCTATTTAACACGCTTGAACTATCTATCAGAACCTCATATACTCTGTTATATTATGTTAAAATAAAAATTCAGGGATTTTTTTAGTGTAATTTATTTTGTTATCGCTTCAATTTATTTTTCTACAGCAGGAAAACTAAATACGTATTTGATAATGTGTAACAGATCTTTTTATTCAAAGATTTTTCATGATTCCAATTATACAGTTTTCATTTACATTTTATGTATGTACTTGTATATTTGTGGAATCAATTAATTTCGTAAATGTGGAGAGATTACTATAATTAATTGTACTCTCTTTCCATTTCATGTTTCATTTTATTCCTGAACATTGATATAGGCATATTGCTTGTAAGTATGATTTGATGCTTCAAAACATGATCTGATTGTATTATATGTTTGTAAATAATATTATGCAGCTGATTTGCATTGTCGCATATGTTGTATATATTCTAAAAATATGTGAAAATGTGTGTATAATGTCTTGATAACAAATAAAAAAGATAAAAACATAAACATTATTTTCCATTTTATTACAGCTATATAAATTTTTGTTAATAGGCATACATCAGAAGTGGAAACGACAATGCTACGGTTATTGAAATACAAGAAGTCTTAGATCAGCAAAGGAGAGCCATAGAAAGGGAGATGCAAAATTACGAGTATCCTAATGGAAAATATGGTCTCAATATTAGGTGAAACAAATGCAATAAAAATTCATTACCTTTAACAATGCATATATCATAAATTAAAACATGTGTTTTGCATATACATGTATATAGTAAATTGGATGACTTAGTTATGGAAAAAGGTGGTGCTCCAATGAGAAGTATAATTTTAACAAGTTGGCGAAGTGGTAGCACATTCCTTGGTGATGTCATAAATGCACATCCAGCAAATTTCTATCACTATGAACCATTGCTTGATTTTGGAATTGTACAAATCAGAGGTCCGCCACTCGCAGAGGAAGCACTGGAAAATATTGAATCTTTATTAAATTGCAATTTTCATAATCTTGGTAAGATTATATAAATCTAAATAGAATTACAATTACAAATTAAGTAAGATATAAGAAGTAATAACAAAATTGATCATATAATTGTAGATAGGTATTTAACATATGGAAAAACTCATCCATGGGTCTTTAATCACAATACACATTTATGGCGTCAATGTCAAATACATAAAAAAATATGTTGGGACTCCCGTTTTGTTTCAAAATTCTGTCTATTATTTCCATTTCAATCAATGAAACTTGTTCGTTTAAGATTACGCGCTGCAGAGGATCTTTTAACTCAAAAACGGTAAATTAATATATTCCAAAATCTAATTTTATTATGTATATTTAGTTTCATGGAATACACTATTATCCTTTTAGTTTAGGGATAAGATTAGTATTATTAATACGTGATCCACGAGGAATTTTACAATCAAGAAAGCATAGAGAATGGTGTCCTACCAGTCCTGATTGTTCAGATCCAGCTTTGGTCTGTGCCGATATGGTTTCAGATTTCAGTGTTGCAGTACGTTTGATAAAAAAGTATCCACATTCCTTCAGGTAAATATTAATCTAATGAAGTTCACAAATACATTTCTTATCATTGTGTCTTATACAAGATCTCAATAATTAAGTAATAGAGTATATGTTTTAAATATAATATATAATATATATGATACACATGTAATTTCATAGGGTGGTGCGATATGAAGATCTATCAGTAGAGCCATATAAATATGTGAAAGAACTTTATACATTTTACGGCTTGGATTTTCATCCTAATGTAAAAAGATTTTTAGATACTCATACAAAAAGTGACGTTGGTGGTGTATCGAGTACATTTCGTAATTCTAAAGTTGCCCCATTTCATTGGCGAACTGATTTAGAATTTGAAGAAGTCGATGAGATCCAAAGAGTGTGTGGATCGGCTATGAGATTATGGGGATATGTAGAAGCAACTAATGCTACTCATCAAAAAGAATTTAATCCGCTTACAGAATATCAATTACAGTTGTGACATCTAATGTATAGAATATTTCCAATGGATACGGTGTACAGTACAGTATTATAAAATATCAAGACTATAAGAATTAGTTATTTTGATTACACGTGAAGGCACATCAAGATTATTCAGAGTGTGGTACATACACACAATCTTGTGAAAATAATATTCATGAGATGGTGTGCCATAAAGAATATAAATATACTCAGGAATATATTAACACGACAACATCTGTGAATATTTCGATATTCAAATATCATAGTTAGAAGATTTTCTCACTTCTTGATATTTAATCTAAAAAGACCAATGGTGATGCCGTTCCTCAATTAAAAAAATAAAGAATAAAATTAAGCAGATAGCAGGAAAAACAAATATGGATCTCTACAGAAATATAGTGCACAGTGCGTGAAAGCAAAAATAAATTATGTCATAGGTTTTAAAATGAAATAATCGAACTTTGTTAGAATCTATATGAAAATGCATTTTCGACACAAGAACTTATTATAATATCTATTCATATCAGTAAAGATCTCTAGTTAATTATTGAAATTATTGTATAAATCTCTCTTTGGAGAGATGTTCTTAGATCTGATTATATTATATAATGCTTATATCAAATATTTTATGATATAAAAATTGACTTTCCTTGTTTTTATAACTATTCCTCATATATAAGTCACAAAAGTCATATTTACAAAAAGTATAGCACATTTCTTATATATGTAACGATTCATGCCACACATATTTCCATTTGATTTAAAAAAAAAAACAAGAATACGTTTACATACATTTATAATTTAAATTCATTTGATAAAACTCTCTGTACTGTTTTTAAGTGAGTATTTATAGGTAACAAAAAAAAGCCTAGAGTTGAGACGTTGTGAAATGTTATACATGCACATATGATAAGTCGAAAAATGTATAAATTTAAAAAAACAAAATTGGATCGATTCTTGCAGTTATCTTAGTTGATAAGACAATTTTCGAAGTTTTACACAATATATACATATTGTTACATTTGTAAATCTAACTATTGAATTAATTTAATTGCTAGTTTATGAATCTCATTTATGAATCACGAATTGACCAATAATTGTGTTTATATATGTTATAGTTAAAATGTATAATTTAGTTAATTCATGAAATAACGGGAGATGTGTAGTTATTATGTCAACGTGGTATGTCACGATTAACAGAACATTTGTTTTTAAAGTAAAGAAATTGATATGAACGGATACCTACGAGTACTGTTGTAGAAACAAAAATTGATTTTTAAAGTCTGATTAAATCTCAATTTCAATACATTAATTACTCGCCGCTCATGAATTCATATATTACCAAGTTAAAGCATGTATTCTGTTTATTTCATATTTTAACTGGTCAATATAGTTACTTCATGAATTAATGGATTTCACATTTTAACAGTAACAGTTTAAAACATTATACTTTTGAAAATAAAATATTTTATTTGTTTGAAAAATGATATTTTTAAAAGTTAATCTATCTAAAATTTCCTCTTATGTCCTGACAGTTATAACAATTTACAGATAATAATACTTCGTAGGCTGGTTTATCGAGCTAGTTCAGATAATTTATAATAAACAAGAAAATTCGGATTTACACTACTATTTTCACTCTCAATAATCTCTTATTTTATTTGAATGGTTTTTACCAACAAATGGTACTGACTTGAAATATAAATTCTTTTCTATGATATCGATTGTAGATGAATTTTGTATCATGTTAATATACAAATTTAATAAGTATCATCTTATGAAAACTTTAAAGTAGTATAAAATTACAGGAAAAGAATAAAAGGAAAAAAGAATAAAATTTTAATAAAAAAAAAAAAAAAAAAGTAATGCATATCACACAAGAGTTAGAAGTAAAACCTTCAAATAAACAAGTTTCGAGGATAATTTATTATATGTTATTATTATAACATTATTTGCACTTTTAATTTGTAATTATTTATTTAATTATTAATTTTATTATAAAAATTCGCGCCTGTTTATATGCAACCCTCCAGACACACTTTGAAAATGTTGCTTGCGAGCGCCATCTATTGGGACGGAATTTTTTGCAGTCAAAACTGTTTATACACGTATGCATGACGGGTTGCCTATCTTTCGGGCAGAAAAAATTCCGTCCCGACAGATGGCGCTCGCAAGCAGCATTTTCAAAGTGTGTCTGGAGGGTTGCATTCATACAGGCGCACATTTTTATAATAATTACAAAGAAAGTAAATAATAAAACACTTTAAAAAATGTTAGCAAATCAAATATTTTTATAAATAATGATGATTTATAAATAATATGTTTGTCTCTTTTTCTCTTCTCACGTAGCATTTTAAAGCCGTCTCTTTCCCCCACTACATCCCGGTTTCTTTTTTCCACTACATAACTGCGTTTCATTTTTTTAAATCACACCCATTCTAAAGAAGTTTTCACTTTAAAAACAAAAAATTAGTAAAATTCATAAACTTTCTAAAGAAAATATTTTGACTCTTGTTCTTCATCGATTTTATTTTGTCTTAAATAATTATAATAAAATGTATATTTCTCATAAGAATAAATATAAAATGAAAACAAATCAGGTCGTTAATATATGATAATCAATGATATTGATTTCTTGATCTTTTTTCACGCGACATGCATACGTTCGTGAGTGAAATGTTTTTCCGCGTAGGATTGCTACGGACGTTCCGGGTGCGTATAAATAAGTAGGTTTCGTCGTACGTTAAGAAGGGCCAGCCGGCGCCTTTCAAACATCTATTTTCGCTAGGAACAGGAAGAGATGAGAAAACCTTCTTTTTCTTTTGTCCTCTTTTTACTCATTATCAGACAAAGCAATCACAACGTAAATAGGTATTTTATTATTTAGCAAATATGTATAAACAAATGATGCAATTTTTTTTATAAATAATTTTCTATAAATAAATAAATAAATAAATAAATAAATATATATATATATATATATATATATATATATATAAAATAATATATAAAATAAATGTATAGATATATATTTAATAGCAAGCACCAGTATAGGTATAGGTGGTTATTTAATTACTGTATATTCATATGTTGTATTTTTTGTATAAATGATTAATACATATTTGTATGAATCCATACATACATACACATCTATAGCAACGTATTACTCTTTCTTTTTCTCCGAAAAATTGTGAATGTATATGTAGATATATATATAATGATAGGTATTTATACTATTTAACACGAGTACGTTACTAAAGATATATTATATCTATTATATATATATATATAATAAAATGTGTACTAAAAATATATTTCTACATATGTATAGAACTATACGTATACATTCTGTTCCGTATAGGTCTTCTTCTTCTTCTTCTTCATCTTTTTCTTCGTGGCTTTTCTCGATCGAACGCGCATGCCTATTCGCGTTAACCACTCTCCAAGTTGTACATCGCTGTAAATACGAATGCCGGAGACGACGTTGACTACTGAAAATAATCACGAGAGAAAGAGAGAGAGAGAAAGGACGCGATGCAAAACCGTCGTGTGTTTCTTCGTTCGTCGCGATGCCACAAAGGCGATCGACGGGCGTCGGCGTTTCCGTAACGACGAGAAGATTTCTTTTCATATTCTGTTTTTTCTTATACAGAGAATAATTCATTGGACAATAATTATTAATAGGTATATATAAATCCTAAATTAATATGTTGGCGAAATATTTTGTTTGTTGTTTTTCTTTTTTTTTTTTAATGTCCTAGAGTGAATTGTTGACACATTTATTAATATCAATAGTGAAATTCCATCGTGATTTTGGAATTTTTTTCGTTACAAAAGAAGTTCTCAAGAGAAGAAAAGTCAAACGTCTTTTTTTAGGCGTGGCAGGTTTGTGGTGGGTTGAAGAAATTTTTAAAAATAACAACGCATTCATGAACATTCGTAATATAGCATTTTACGTTCATTTAAGACGCTCTATTCATGATATTTAATTAGTTACTATTTTTGATTACCAATAGACTATTTTACATAGCTATGAAAGATAAACATTCAATAAGAAGAAACTGAATGGAACAAAGAGTTTGCAAACGAAACGATCAACATCAAGAATTAGCTTCGAGATTTGGTTAGTTGACTAAACATTGGAAAGAGTAGAAAAGGTGGTAGTGAGGGTACCATTTAAACGTCGGTGATGGTTAGCAGACTTATACTATTCCATCAATTGCCAGCGTAAACAGTGTTTGAATAAACCAGATTCCAATTATACGGCACGCGCTCAAACGTTTATTCGGCTTTGCCAAATACAATAGAAAGACTTGTTACGAGTTTAAAAATTGGAATAAATCCTTTCCGAAAGTTGGTGGTTAATTCTATCGATCGATCTAGAAAATTTAACGTAAATATATGTTATTAAATTGATATCATTTTGTTTGGGACGAAAATGGCGAAGAATGGTAGACCCGTGTTTGAAGAATGTAACATTCAAGAGTTCGATAAAAGAGCGCGAAAATACAACAGAATCAACAAGAGCAAAGACAAATTCGAGGAGACTGATTTACCAAGTCCACCACCCGATCCTTGGACAACCCCAAGATGTTCTCAACCCATTAATAATTTATCTGTAGAACCGTCGCAAGAAGAGGACGATATAATTGCTTATTTAACGGGTATTCGTACACCACCACCATGCGATAGTCGTAACTCCGATTGTTTATCAAGAAATTCAGCTACATCGACTATGGCTGTGGCAAGTCTTTATACGGAGGAATCCTTTGAACAACTGGACAGGCTTTATGAAATGGCGGAACAAATACTGGAATTTCGTGACCGTAGCTCGAAATTATTCAGACGTGTCAGAGAATTAGAAAAACTGAAGGTATTGAGAATGGCCGATTTACGCGCGGAAAGAGCAATTTTTTCTAATTACGACATTAGCAGTGATTTACCTGATGAAGATGCTGGTTTTGCTGAGTCTTTATTGGATGCAATAATATCGAGCAGTCGAGATTCTCAACTTCCAAGACGAAACCCAAGGTCACCGTCTTCATCGAGACAAAGAAGTCGATCGCTTGCCGTTTCTGAACAATCTTTGCCACGATCACCGAATCTGGGAAACCGTTCGGCACTTGGTATAGAAAAGGCTACCTTCAGAAATGAAACTTCCGGCGTTCCGAAAGTCTCTAAATGGACCAGAGTGAAGGCTGCTTTTAAGTGGGAGAGAGCTTGTCCCAATGATATGACAGATTCAAACGTAGAACAAACACCAACACCAAATACACCGACTACGAAATACCTTCGAATTCCAGATATTGCATCTGGAAATTGGTCTGGTACAGGAGAACTCTCAGGACCCTCCACTCCACTTGGCCGACCCTCATCAGCTTCCTCCTCTAACGAAGATGTATTCGATCGTAAGATTTAGGATTTTTTAAAGTACCTTCATTTGCAAGTTCTAACATATAATTAAATGAATTATTCTCAGACATTTAGCAAGTCTGATTTTTCTTTCGAATTGAATTATTTGTTTTTAACAAAAAGAAAAAAAAAGAAGTTTAAACTTCTTCGTATTGAAATTTTTTTTATTTTTTACAGGTCAACGAAAGTACATGTCCGAGACTGGTGATCGACGGGTGTCCAGAATAAAAGAATTTTCGAAGAAAAACGAATCAACCGTATGCAACGAATTACTCGAAGATGACGTTATTGTGACTAACAATGAGGACGGTGTGCAGCATGCGAGTGAGATACGAGAGGTAAAGGATCTTTTGCCAAATTACGCGTGGAATTCGATATCGTGTAGGTACGTATATGTAACACTTGACCCACATATAGAAGCTCTAAACGATCAAGGTCTACTTCGTACAGGTGCATCGTTAAATGTCTTGACGAATTTATGGAGTGAGCCATTAACAACGCGTTTCGTCATTTATACATTTTATGATCGTGCATATACCTTGTATTTAAGTATAAATCCGGAAAATATGTGTATTAACGTTCTACGAAATTTAATAAGTCCATTCCAAAATAGTTAGGTGCATTTCAAATTATTAGTGCACGTCAAATAAAATTAACGAACAATTTCGAAATATTTTATCGATTAGATAAAAGAAACAATTATACATTTTCTTTTTTTTTTATCATGATAAAGGAGCAATTTAAAAATCATTATAAATATTTAAAAAAACTATCCGATATGAACATTTATTGTCAAATATTGATAATTTCATTCGAAAATAATTAAAGTTTTTGATAAGCTTTAATAAACTTTCGTGTGTAGAGTCTGCAAAAGTTCGTATACGCAGAATTTTTCTCTTCCGCGACATATCAGTGGTCCACACGCTTGTCGATTTAAAAATACATCGACCAAGCAAGCACGCGTGGGGTACACTCGAATCTTCTGAATATGTTCAGAACTGACACCGATCGTACTTCTGACCGTTAATAGTTCGACTTGTTTATCGAACATCGCAGATCAAATGGGTATCTCTTAACGATACACAGGACATCTGCAAGATTATTGGCAAATTATCAAAGAAAAATCAATCCTTACTTTACAAATATTATTTACGATTTTATAAACTAGCACCAAATGCAAATATTACTAAAGCTATTGCCGAGTTATAATCCATTTCATTGTTTCATTTGGTGGAAACGTTAATGTAATCATTTATTTTCAGCATATGCGTGATCAACAGTATCAACACTTCAGGAACTTCAATAATTCATCTAAATATTTTCTCGGTTGAATTTTAACTTGACTCTATCGATTTTCACAGACTAATCAAGGAAAACCAGTTATTCGAATCACGAAAGAAAATACTCCTGAACCTCAAATCAAGATATCTAATCCGAAATTATTATCGAGTTCTGGAAAGGACGCAGAAGTAACGCTTAAGAAACCAACACCGACTTTAACTATCACGATACCATCTAGCGAAGAAGAATTTAGAAATGTTTCCTCACCTGAATCGACTTCACCACTTCCTTCTAGTACGCTTGATTCAGGTCAAAGTTCGCCATATCAAGGAAAAGTACGTCAGAGTGGTCAAAATCTGACAGATTTTAAACGACAGGTATAATCCCATACGGGAATTAATAAAAGACTTAATGGTACACTTTGTTTTCTTTTTTATAAATTATTTTATTCATTAATAAATTAATTTAGCGATCAACTGCGGAGGAATCACCGGCTTCAAAAATCCAAAGAATTGATTCTAAATGGAACAAAGTTAGACGGGCATTTTTATCCAACACTGCTTTCAGTGTTCCACCAAGTCCAGTGAGAATAATTGCTAGACAATCCTTTCTTCATGATGGTAAGATTAAATTTTATTTAATAATTGATGTGTGCATTAAAAAGATTTATTTCATAATCGTATATATCACGTTATCGTTTATTTATCTAATTTTTTAAGCGAACTTATGCAATCATCTAAACATTGAGCGAGTGCTTGCATTTCTGAAGAATGTTCGTTAATTGCTTCGTTTATCGCTTCTTTGTGAAATTTCAAAACATTATTCCGTAGTTTTTTAACTTCGTTCAATTTCATCTCAACTTCTTTCATCGTTCGTTCTAAAATATTTTCAGCTTCTTCAGTATTTTTCAAGAAACATTTCTTCAATGTCGAAGATGTGTCGTCGTTAAGGGGAAATAATGTCAGAGCAATTGCTTTGTCGGTTGATCGAGTTGTCTCAGTTTGTAATTTTTCTAAAATCGTCACAATTTGTCTGACACTTGGCATTAGCTCATGGTATAAAGCAACAAACGTGTTATTCGCACGATTCTTGAATCGAAGAACTGTGATTCTTGTTTCTGATGCGAAGCAAGGATCTAATTGTATCAATTGTTGAAGTCTTTCGTCCACGCATTTCGAAATATTTTTAACCCATCGAGATACATTAGTTTTATCGACACTCGTCTCTTTTTTCAATGATTCGATGATCGTTCGTTTTTCTTTTTTAATAAAATTATGTATACACTCGATATGTTTTTTCACGCGTTTATGGGCCTCTTCGTAATCCGAAACAATGGTTTTAATATCGCACTAAAAAGATTGAAGAAATAAGAACAGTTATTTGTTGTGTATATATATATATATATATATATATATATATATAGGTTTGTATAAAAACATTGATCTTACTTTATCCGAAGAATTTAATTTTCGATAATTAAAATGAAAGAGAAATTTGTTCGGAGATCGTAATAAAAAATCTACATTCTTTTTATATTTGTCAGATTGTTTCGATTGATATTTTATATTACACTTCGATTTATTACTTTCGTTGGAGGTTAATCTTTTTCCGATGAATTTCAAATAGGGCAAACATGGAAAGAGTTTTGATGTATCGTTAATAATTCGAGCTGTTGTAGAATTGTGAAATTTATATGCCAGCATAACAAAATTACATGATTAGGTTAAACCACGTTGTAAAACAAATGGTATACGCAAGAAAGCCATCTAATTATCGATGACACGAATACAAAAATATATATGATAGTATATTATTATAAAAGTTATTTTATATAAAATATCTTACATATATGTAACAATTAAACCTATATTTTAGAACCAGAAACACCTAGGACTCGTAGTTGCAGTGGAAGTGTAGAGGATTTATCAAAGAGTTCCTTAATGTCAAACACCCAGTTGGAAACTCGACGAGATTATCAAGTATTACGAGAAAAATTGAGTGTTGAGTTTCATCGAAAATTGATTGAATGGGAACGATTAAAGAGATCAACAGGAGCCAATACGAGAAGCACTCGAGATGCATTTACTTCCAGCAATGGTATAATTTTTATTTATAATTAATTTGAGAAGAAATGAAGAAATATACAATTTTTTGAATAATTCGTTGTCTTTTTTTTTTTATTTTGAGGAACCACACCAAATAGTCCTCACGAGAGTTTGCTTCTGACAGAGGAAAGACTAGCTCCAGAATTTAAAAAGAAACTGCAAGAATGGAAACGATCGAAAAAGGGACGTAGGGGAAGTACTTCTACAGAATCCCAACGAGTAAGTCGACGACGTTTAACGGATTGGCAGCTCTGGCGATATCCTTCAAAACCGGAAACGAAAGTCCAGGAAGTTATGGGTCCTCGTTGTAGCTGTGGAAGCGTTGGAAGTACCGGTAGTGTTGGAAGCGATAGCAAACCTCATTTGTGCGAGGATTTTGTTAGAAGGATGGAAGCATGGAGAAGACTTAGCGAAGCATCGAAAAGGCCATCATCATCTGCTCGATTAGGTTTCACCTCCGGTATCGTCGATGAGACGGAATTTCTTGCTTTAAACAGAGTCCTTTCGGTTTTCGGAAGTCTCGAGCAGGAAACTCAACAGGACAGTGATTGGTTTGAACAAAGATCAAAGTAATCGTTTAAAATATTACGTATAATAAATTTTTTGAAAATTATTTGTTTAAAAACAACTATGAAATTTTGTTCTTCCAGCTTTACCGAAAAGTCACAAAATTTAAAAGCTGGAAATGAAATCTTAATTCAAACGTCGGTTGGTTCTTATCGCTTCGAAGGTATATCACAAGAATTTACCAGGAAATTGTATGACTGGGAAAAATTTCGTGGCATATCTCCGAGGTCTTCTACATTTCGTTTGTTAGGTCCAGCTTATGCACCTCTTGCAGGAACGATGAACGATTCGACGACAACCGATGTCGCAACTGCAACAGGTTCAATTCAATCCTATATTTCTAACTTTTTTTTAGTCTTTTTTGTTAAAAAACATTAATCGAATTTTATATTTTTCATTGTATGATTATAGACGAAGAGGAGACCTTTCTTGGTGGTATCAAAAGATCTAAATCAGTTGGAAGTATCATGGAAACTAGTGGATGTAAGCAGCGATTTATTCGTCGTTCTGCTAGTTTACATTCGTTAAAATATTTAACCGAAAAATTAAAAGAATTAAATCTTATGAATGATTCCTCAGTACCTGGTAAATAATCTCAATTAAATGTTACCTACGTTATTCGCATTAATACAAATTTACCTGTAATGTTTTCAAATTTGACAGTAGATCAAGAAAGAAGGCCAGACACATCGGAAGATGGAATTATCGATGATTTTGAACCGGAAGCTATGATTGTTGATATCGAGGATGTCATAGAAGAAACAGCTAGTCCTTTAAGAAGAATTCAACCTCATCAGACTCCAGTTTATTCCGTAGCAGCCAGTGAAACGACAAGTATAGCTGTACCACTTGGTACAGTGACATCCAGTCATGAACCATCTCCAGCTATTTTAATGGAAGTAGAAGAAGATTCGGACAGAGAACAACAGTGGGAATCGAGAAGTTGGAATTTGAGGACTGATCTTTCGGCTAGGGATTCAACTGTTCCAGGAAATTGGCACTCATTTTGGGATGAAAGAACTAATTTTTCAACATACGACAAGAGTAATTCGGAATTTGGGAAAGATGAGCACCGAAGATCAGATCATAGTTATCAACATGCTTCTGATCAACAGTTGTGGACGATCGTTGGGTGGAATAAAAAGTCCAAATATTTCAATGAAAATGACGAGTCTGTTAAAACTGATCTTCGTTTTGGATTAACTCAGAATGAACAATCGTTGGATGATAATAAGGAAGAATATAATTGCATTAATTTGAAAAGGTAAAAGGATAACGTAAAGGATAAAGATTTGATCTAATTTATATTCATATTTTGACATTAACAATTCTTTCTTTTGATTGACATTGTTGTAACTTTATTGAAACTTGCATTACTTTTACACTCTCGCAGATTTTATATCTTGGTTACAGTGATGTAGCGAGTATTCATTTTGGGGAAAATAATGAGGATAATACGGACAAAATCTGGACAATGACTGATGAGTCTATTGGTAGATATATATTTACTGTTAAGATCAAGAAATAATTTAATACATGCCATAATATTTTTTTTTTTTTAGAAGCAACAACTGTACATAGTGTATCCAAATCTGAGAACACTCTGACTAAAACTCTGGAAACAATGGAAAAATCAATGGTACATTTTATATACTAAATATACATGTGATGTCCCAAAAATCGCGAAACGGTAAAATATCTCAACAACAATGCATTTTGTAAAAAAAGAATTTTAGACAAATTTTATTCTTTCTAAAGATTTATCAAATGGGTTTTATGTTTGATAAAAAGATTCTTAAAAAGAAATATTTTATTGTTCTCGAGATAGTTCATCGTGCCAGAACTTTTGGAACATTCTGTATATATATAACGATTTTTTATTATAACTCTGAGAAAATTTTTATTAATTTATTCTTTGATTTTAAACATAAAGAAAAAATTGTTGACAAATTTCACGATAGTAGACAAATTTGTATTAAAAATCTTCTGAGAAGCTAAGTTTTATCATAACGCGATCGAAATTAGCTACCTGTCGGTACAACCAGGAGTTGCCGTTCGAGAATAACATGGAGGAACAAAGGAACGAAAGGAAGGAGCTGAAAAATTATGAGGACGAGAACGACGATGAGGATATTAACGATGGCAAGAAAGAAATCCCTATTAGAAATAAAAATGATCCGAGTCCAAGCTTTTCTTACCATCATCCAACTGGAACAATACACACTGCCAGTAATGTAGGAATCTTTTCAACGAATTCTACCGTTCTATCTTCGAATTCCAAAACGGGTAGGAATATAAATGTAAAAAATAAATCAATATTGTTAATTAATCCATTATTAATTATTATTACTAAATAACATTTAATTTAATCGTATAAATTAAATGAATTACGTCATTTGTAATAAAAATATCCTTTCTTTCGTGTACGAAGATTTCTTTAGGAACAACAACGCTGGTATAAATGAAATTTCAAACAAGGAGAAAAATTTCAAAGAGGAATACAACGCGGATAGAAAAATATTTCAATTACGTCAATACGGTGATGACTTTAATGCAATAAAATATTCCCACGATTTGTCACCCTCCAGTATTATCGATAACAAATATGGCAATAACAGTAAAGAAATTCGAAACGTAAATATTTCGAAGGAAGACGAAATAACGAGAGATAATGTCTCTCACGTAAAAGGAATTGAAACTAATCGAAAAATGGAACAGAAACAATACGATTCTTTCGAAAGAATTTCGATATTACCATTCAAAAATGATACTATGGAATATCGGGAGCCAACTATTAGAACGACGCCATTAACTGTATCGTCTCAACGTGAAGCACGTTGCGTTGAAAGGATTATTATTAATGAAGAAACATTAAAAAAAATAGTCGTTCCTACTGCAAGCAACGATAGTGCGAGTAATTCGTCGAGGTCAAAGAGGGAAGATTCTTCGGATGCTTCGAATAATCATTCAGACTTGGATGAAGCTTGTAAGGACAACAACGGTCTTCCTCCTAAACTTGGTTCTTACGTCGTAAATCAAAACGTTAATAATAATGGCGAACACACGAAACAGAAAGTGGAATCTACATCGCGAAACGTTTTCGTAAAAACTAAGCGTATAATATTTTCACCTTTTCGTCGATTGGACGATCGTCGTTCTTCCCATGATAAAAATGTCAGTAACGAGTCTAATTCGAATCAAATGGAAAGACAAAAGAGTAAGAGTAAAAGTAAATCAAGATCGGCATCACCGAAAACTTCGCGACACGAGACTATCCCTCGTATTCCTCTGTCACTTCAATGGAACGTCCTTCGATCTTCCTCGAAGGAACCGGAAACAAAGGACGACGACAATGTTCCTCTTGAAAAACACGGAGAAGAAAGGTCTTGGTTTCAAAAATATCATAGGCGTACGCGTTCCGGAGAAGAACGTGTCATTCAGAAAAATAAAATAATAACTGAAAAAGAAGAAGAAGAAGGGGAAAAAATTAATAACGATATGGTTGAATCGAAAAAAATAAGCGAAAATATTAATAAAAAGATGGCGTATTTGGATGAAAAGGAAGTAGCGATAGAGAAAAAAGATGAGGAACGTAAAAAAGTTTATCGAGATCCCGTTGATGATGGTTACGAAGAAATTATAGTTCGAGAGACTCAACAAGATCATCATTTATCCGGTATTTCATAAATTCTAAATTATTTCAATGATTTATTTCACATATTCGTAGATATTGACAAAAATTTAATATTTTCTTTTTCTTTTTAGCAGTACCAATTTTTGGGATAAAGGAAGAAGACGAAACAGAACGTTCAACGATAACGGAAGATAAATTGCCATCAGATCTTGTACACAAATTACGGATCCTTTCAAATGCGGCGGCCAAAAGGGACGGTAGAATTGGTAGTTGTATCGACACAATGACAACGGAATCACGGAGCTCAAAATTACAACGGGCAAAAGAGGGCTTCCTGTCGCGTCGTGGTGGTCCCTTGTGTCAGTCCACATTAGAACCTATGACATCGGTAACTCAAAATCAAAAGGGTGATTCACCCTTTACAAATTATCATAAAGATGATTTGACTTTGAACGTTGATAATATAAATCGTGATGATACGAATTGGGACACAGCAATCGAGTAAGTACGATTTAATTAACAAATTCATACACAATTATAAATTTATAAATTGTTCTAGATAACAAAATATTTTGATTATTCTGACAAATGTAAAACTGAAATATTTGAATTTCAGCTGCCCTATTCAAACGTCATCCGTTTCACGATCACCAACTCTTTCTCAGAACTCAAATTCCAAACCTGAATTGGTTAAATCTGCTAGCGCAGGAATGATAAATGTCGATCCGGATACTTTTGATCGGCTTGCTACGAATAATAATCGTGGATGTGAGTCTTTACCGCGAACAATATCGAGACGAGATTCCGATGGACCCCTTGCAAGAATAGTAAACAAATTAAGATTTTCGAAATTGATACGTGGCAAGGACAACGAAAGTGGAAGTATGAGTACGATCTCTACATTATGTCGGCAAAGTTTACTCATTGACGTTCGTCCAGATCTCGAGGAATGTTACGAAAATGAGGATCGGTCTGACGTAAACGAGAAAGAAGAAAATAACAAGGAACGTCGGTGAGATTGAAGTGGTAAGAATCGGAGAATTTAGATTTATGATTGAAGTTAATGGACGATGTTTAAAATGGTATTCCGTAAATTAAAGTTACAATCAAACTAAATATTTTATCAAATGAAAGTGAATAACGTGAAAAATAAAAAACAATAACTAGGTACGTATGTCCAATTCTACATAATAATCTATTATTTTCATACATTACCGATACTTAAAAAATAATTAAAAAAAAGAGAAATAATTCGAATAATAAATAATACCAAAAGATATATATTTTATTTCCTTTAGAAATTCTTTTCTCTACCATAAATAAATGCAAAAACATTGATAATATATATATTCTTAAGTTATCTAATTAATGTATATTTAATAATTATAATAAGAAATCCTTTATAGTCGTTCGAACAGATTCTTGTGTTTCATAATCTTTCGAGAAAAGCCAATAAAAGAGAAATAAAAAGAGAAAAGAAAAAGAAGAAAAATGCAACTCTAATTCGTAAGATGAAATAGACGCGTGGCACGGTACCATTATGCATCCGAGTTTTGTGTGTGGACGTTTTTTTTTTAAGTAGACTTTACGAGAACCAGTAGAATGAAAATAGAAAGGAGAAAACAGAAAACAGAAAGAGAAAAAGAAAGAGAGAGTGATCATTAGCTTGGACAAACACACGCGTGGGACGACGTAGAGTTCGAGTACTCGCTGGTGCAACGAGCGGTAAACAAGAATGGCGACTGAAGAGGGATCCTTCTGAGCCGGTGTTCGATTAAATGGGATTAATGTCCCTGGGGCAGTTTCGAGTGGCGAGATACGCGCGTGTCGCGCGCAACCGGCTTTGCCGCGTGTTCCCTTTTTCCCCCTCCCCGTTTCACCCTTTCCTACTCTTCGTCATCTTCTTCCACCATTCTCTTCACCCTTGGTTCGCTTCTGCAATCCCCCACTTTCCCACCGATTCGACTTCCCTCACTTCTCGATCATTGGATTCTTCCTTCTTCCCATTTTCTAGTCTATCAATGCAGGTCTATTATATGCAGGGTGAATCGTGGTACGTGCTCACCTTAGATCATACCACCCCCTCCTTATCGATTCGAATACCCACCATTTTTTTCTTTTGGTTAATTTAAAAATATGATCCTTTGAAAATGTTTCATTACGATTGTAATCACAAATTCTTCTCTTCAACTATTAATTATTTTTTTGTTTCCCGAAAGTTTTCTAGGTCATCGTCATCAATTTTTTGTAATATTATTCTTTACAAACAACAGCGAAAGAAATATTTTTTTTTCCGGTCAAAAAAATACAAACAGACTTAGTATTATTTAATTTAGTAATAATTTAAACTTTTAGGCACTACACGCGCGTCACTGTAGTGACTTTCGCGGATGACATCTTTTAAAATATATCATACCTAATTGTATTATTAATTATTAAAGTAAATTGTTAAAGTATGTGCAATATATTTTAAAGAAAAATTATAATTTACTTATTAAATAGTTCATTTCAATATACTCATGTAGATAATAGCATTGTTTGTTGAACTCTGCCGTACAGAGAAACAGCTCCGCGCAACATTCAGCAGTGCCTAAGTGAATAATTAGTAAAACACACACTGATCTGATTTATTTTTATACGTTATTTTGTTCATTTAACTTTTAACATTTAACTGAATATTTTCATAATTTCCTGTAAGAAGAAAAATCATATTTATCGTACGACTTTTTTAATATAAAGAATATTTTTATGTTTTGAAAGTGTAGAAGTATGTTTTTGAGAAGAGAAAAGAGTATATATATAGTAAAAAATAACGAATAGAAAATATAAAAAAAAGGAAAGAGAAAGAGTGAGATAGATCCTTGGGATCGAAATCAAGATCCTTTACCGATTTATGAGCTTAAAGAATGGAACACGCAGGATCATGGAAGAGTTGTACAAAAGGCAGCCGTGTTGTTGGTTGCATTCGTTGGGATCGACTTCTCATATACCTGCGTTTTATAATCCGGAAGCATCCGCGGGAACACGCATTTAAAGTCAAAACGTTCAACACATGGGAACTCTCTGCCATGTTGACTAACCATAAAAGAAGTGTGCGCGGGTGAATTCTGATTTTGATTTCGATCTTCTTTTTATCCTTTGTTAACTAAACTTTCCATTAGTAAAAATCATCCCCTATTGCTTAAACAGAAATATTAGGGGACTGAAATGTACGACATCGGGAATTCCCACATCGAATGTTGAATTTGTAAAAGAAAAGGAAAAGGTTTTCTCGTCTCGTGAACAACAACAATTTTGATGTTGCATTATTTTGTGTCGAGTAAGGAAACAAATTTGTTCGGTACAATATAACAGTGTATTAAATAAAATGTTTAACGGAGTATTTAGTACTTAAATGTTAAAGTTGTTCTTTTTTTTTTTTTTAGTAGAAAAAGGGTAGAAGATGTGAGAGCCACGTGCGAAATATGGTGGGTCATAAAATAGAAAAACAAATATAACTTGATAATAATAGGAAAATATTCCTCGAGAAAGTTTGTTTTTCAAATATTATTCTTTGAAAACAGCAGTCGGATGTGGTATAATTATTACGAACTCTTAAATAATTCGAAATAAAAATGAATAAGAACGAATCTAAACGAAGTGCTAAGAAAACATATTAGGTGGTTAGGAAAGTCGTTTCGTTTTTCTTTTGTAAAAATGAAGATAATTTTTGCTTCGAGGTTAAACCTAAACCTTTCAAGTGGTCATAAATAGTTGAATTTGATAAATTTAACCTCTCATCGATCTCATGTGTTACTATTTGTCGGTTTGCATCAACTAATGCCATTATTGCATCAGCAAAAAACGAAACGACTTTCCGAACCACCTAATATTTCTATCGTCTCTCTACAAACTATTATTCCTACTATTTTCGAAAGATTTAACGACATTGTTTACGATCATTGAAAGATCTTTCGATTGGAAAGGTAGAAGAAGAAAAAAGAAAAAGAATAAAAAGGGATAGTGGTTTCGGAGATGAAAGAACGTGAATATTTTCAGGAAACAATTAATTATTCGAGGATGTAAGGAGTTTTATCACGATATCGCTTAGTGAAAGAGAACGGTAGTCCAAAAGCAAGTGACCAAAGTCGCCAATGTCAAAATACTTCCGTCGAATAGAGGGTGGTGGTTTAGCGAAAATAAGAGAAAGAAAGAGAGAGAAATTTAATGGATCGGAGAGAGATGAACGATCGGACAAACGACGCCGCATCGTTGTCTGATCGTGGAGATTGCTTTATTTGAGAAGCGGTTTAAGTTAAGCACGCCTGCACGAGTAGCTTGAAACTTTCAACGAATACCTAACGTCGTCGTCGTCGTCGTCGTCGTCGTCGTCGTCTCGGAAGAAGGAGGAGCAGGAGGAGGAGGAGGAGGACCGGCATTAAGGCGTAACGCATTAAGCATCGGAATAATGTAATCTCTTGTTCGGGATCAAGCGATAAATTAATCGGTCCGTTGAAATTTGTCGGTGGCGCGTATTCACCAGAATCTCAACCCCCATCACCGCACCTGTGTGTTCATTCGTTTGTTTGTTTGTCTGTCTTTCTATATGTCTTCTCTTTCTCTTTTCTATTTCTTTCTTATTCACCTCTTTAAAAACCTCGAATGTATTTGATCTTATCGTGTGAAGTCGATCGGAAATTTCTATCTCACTTCGTTATAAAATTTGTCTTCATTTTTCTTTCTTTTTTTTTTTATCAATGAAACAAGTATATTCTCGAAATTCTCGAGAGACACGATGTTTATCAAATAAGTTTTTAATATATACAAAAATAATAGACTAATAATGTCTTATAGATACATCAAAGAAACATTTTTTTTCCGAGATTGTTCAGTTTCCCATTAGAAGAGAACAATCTCCTCTATTCGATTCCAACTGTCATGTCTCGTCGAGTCTCGTCGTTTCGCGGTAAACGAAGAACGGACAAATCTATAAGGGAAAGAATTGAAAAAAAAAAAAATAAACTAAAATAAAAAACAAAGAAATTAAATAAAAATACAAAATGTAAAGAAGGGGATGAACGAGAACGGTGCGCACGTCCGTTTATACGCTCGGGGCCGAGTATTACAAAGAGGACCGATTTTTGGTGCACATATAAATCAGTCGACTTCCGACGAGGACGTACAACAAGCCGCTATTCTATCGCGCGACAAACTCGCGCAGGAATCGCAGAATATCTTTCTCTTTCTCTCTCTCTTTCTCTCTCTCTCTCTCTCTCTGTCGTTCTGTTTATTTTTTATTTTTTTATTTTTAATTTCTTTTGTTTTGTTCTTTTTTTTTCATTCTCGGTAAGATCGATCGTTCAATTTGAAGCTCACGGCTGTGGGATCGTCGCTAGGCAGGGTGGTCCGAATATTCTTGTCGAACGTTTGACGTTCACATCGAAATAGCAGCCCGCTCTTTATCGAAACAACCAAGTTTCAACCTTTGAAGTTGAGTATAGTAGAGATAGAAAGATAGTAGAGTATAGAAAGTTTTTCTTCAAGATCAATCGTAAAATGTTAAATATAGTCAAATTATTTATATAATAGATCTTCCTAAAATTAGTTATCATTTCTTACGAATACCTACCAACTTGTATCATAAATATTCATTAATGATTTATAGTAAAGCTAAGGAATATACCCAAAGATAATTATATTCTTCTATATCGGAGTTATAACAAATTTTACTCGTTACTTCAAAAATTTCTTCAAGAGAAACAGAGAGAGAGAGAGAGAGATTAGATAAGTACAGCAGTAGTTTTCATGTAAAAGCAGAATATGAACGACTTCCAGCGTAGTAACTCATTTGGATGGTAATTTTCAATGCTTTTCAAAATTACGGGACTATCATTTCGTTTAATTTATATCTTCTGTCGTGTAATTACTCATCGACTTCCTAGTGCAGTAAATTTTATCGATACCGTTATTATCATTTACCGAACCATCTCTAGTAGTAAAAGAGACTATGACGATTATTAAATAATTGTATTAAATATTTGAAATATTATTAAATAAAACAATGAGATATTAACGATTTTAATTTAAAAAATTACTAATGAATTTTGATAATAGGTATCTTAAATCTTGTTAGATTAGGGATCGAAGAATATCGGTTCGATGTAATTCGTCGAAATAACATAAGATCGTGTTACGAGATCAGCCTGAAACTTCGTTAGAAGAATACCTCTTATAGCTTTGTAGATTCGATTAAGCGATAGATACTAATGATACTTCGAAAATTTGAATATCTTGAGAAAAAGCGTTTTTTTTTTTGGGCGAAAGGATATAGAAAGAGTACAAGAGAAAAAGAGAGAGAGAGAGAGAGAGAGAGAGAGAAAGAAAAAGCGAGTGAAAAAGGAGTCATCGTCATCGTTGTAGGAAGAGAAGGCTGCAGGTTCTCAAATTGCGAGGAAACCGGGCACCAAAGTGTCGCGCTGGTTTCATATGACGGTCGGACCACCGATGACGATGATGTTCCTTCTTTTGACCAATAATAACATCCTTAAATTCTTCCTCAAAACTCATTAAATTATATCCGCAAATTAGTTTCCCATTGATTTTCTTCGACTGATATTCTGTAAAATTTATTTGGAAAATAATAAAAGGAGAGGATAAGTTTTATAAACGGTATTGAAATAAATTTATCTGCAAAAAAAAGTTTTATTCGAAAAAATATCACTTTGTTCTTCTTTGTCACTCTTATCTAAATTACAATAAATTATATGTAACGCTATATGATACAACGTTTAATTAATATTATTTATCGCTTAATTAATTGAAATATCGTACAAAATATACAAATTATCGATGAATGATTATATGTACAGTGGATATGATTGATATTTCTAGAAAGGTCTCTCTCACGTGATTTTTTTCTTACGTGATCTCATTTCTAAAAACAATGCGTTATCGTTCGTAACCCTATTGTTCAAAATAATACTGATATTTTTATTTGTCACTACAAATGCATCGATTTATTCGATTGATCTTATAAACATCAAATCTGTTAAGGATTCAAAAAGTGGCTTGAGACAAAGCAAACTTCTGTCAAACGATCGTTATTGTAAAAGATCGTAAAGTGCGGTGATATAAGATTGTGCCATCTGAAGAGTCTCGTATTTAGATAATTGTCTATCATTTCCAAGGGAAGGTAAATAAGCTCTAAGCCTGTCAAAAGCTTTGTTAAGATTTTGCATTCGTCTTCTTTCTCTGGCGTTAGCAGCTAATCTTCGTTTCCTAACCGTTGTAGAACTAACATATTTGCCTCGTCTTCTAGCGTCACGTCCAGAAGAAGTAGGATTACCAGCCGAATCAGGACCATCGCTCATTTCTTCGTCGTCCTCGCTATCAGCATCCATTGTTCGATCCGAAAGACTACTAGAATTGCTTACGACACTTCCATGACAGGATTGTGCCTTATCTTGTTCATTATCTCCATCAGCATCCACATCTAATTCTTCTCCAAGTTCGACAGTATCCAAACGAGACGATCGCGTTTTCCCAACTACGATACAATCTGTACCATTAGTTATTCTTTTATTCGTATATTTTTGGTCATCCGTTGCTCCAGACAAAAGATGATAGGACGGTGCACCAATTACATTAGTCTCCGATTCCGAAGAAAGTGTCGTAGCAGGACTAACAGATCGTAAACTTGTGGTAGGACTTGGTGTATGCCAATCGTCATTTCTGTAACTTTCGTATATTACGCAACGTGGTACTGTCAAAGTGCTCACTGGAGGCAAACCTGACTTTGTTTTGTTCGTGTAGCTCGTGTAGCTCGGTAATTCTAAATAAGTACACGAACCAACTTTGTTCTCTCGAGGTGGATACATATAGCCATAACGAAACATCTCTTGAAGCTCCATAGCACGAGAATCAATATGATGTTACACTTAATGAAAGCTCTCCTTCTGTTTTGATCTTAATTGTTTGCACTATCTCTATAGGTCTCTCTTCTATTGATAAATAATTCTCAATCTTAATTGTAAGATAAAATAGTTTAAATTTCTTTTTTATTTTTATTATTATTACACTATTATAAAAGATTAAWATCATATACACGAGAGATCAGAAAGCTTTCCGATAGTTTTAAACGCGTACACGCCGAGTCGGCTCTCGGAGTGATTCTGAAGTCTGGTTGAAGCGCGCCAGAGACTTTATGCGTTCGAGGAGCAGGCACCCTCGAGGAGCACGTGCCGCGGAACCAATCGGAGAGCGTCCAACATTACCACCACATTTTTAGTGAGCTCTTAAGCGGAGACCAGGCCCGGTGCTCGTCCGGGTACCGCAACAGGTTGCCCGGCGCCTACAACGGCTACGCAAGAAGGGATGAGAAAGAAAGGACGATCGGTAGTGTAGCCTTTGCGTTCGTTCTCTGGGAAAGTTTATCTACCTCTTTCTCTCTCTCTCTTTCTCTCTCTTTTTCTCCCCCTCCCACTTTTTCTGTGTTAGGGAGCCATCTCCTTCGGAATCTTCTTCGTTACTCGTTGCGTAGATCGTGTGACTCTCGATGAAATTCTTCGCGTGAAATTCTCACGGTCTACCGATCGTTTTCTCACTTCGATAAAGACCAATCAAATTATTTATATTTACATTAAAAAGATAATTATATGAAACTTTGTTATTATTAATGCCACACATTTAAATAAGAAATAAATATATGTTAATGATAGATTATTAAATTGTCATCATTTTTACACAACCTGTCGATTAAGTTTACCACGTTAAGTTTTTCGTCATAAGTTTCGTAAAAAAAAAAAGTAAATTAGAAAAAATAAAAAGGATTGAGAAAAAGTTATTCATATCTATTATTTAACGATTTCTGGTAGAGTAAGATAAGGATGGTGGGTGCTCGTAAATCGGTTGAAATCTGCCTCCGAAGAATTCGGTGGTCACAGGCTGGGACCAAGCCATAGGGCATAGGTCCATCTTTCGCGTTCACCGAGCTCACAGTGGAGAAACGCGAGGATCGTATCTTGCAAAAAGGGTGCAAATACCTTAGGGGCGTAAGGTCCAGTTACATCTTTACTCGCTCAATTAGCGAAAACAGGTAGGATAAAGTTTGCGGCGAGCACGAAGGTGGTCTCGAGGCAACCCGATCTCTCTGTCATTCCCCTTCGGGGGACACGGCCGTCTTGGATTTCGAGATCGTCCGTACACCCGTCCTAAAATTCTTCCTAAGTAGCGGAACGATAATCCTCTACTTAAAAACCTTTCGTACTCCTTCTTCTTCTTCGTACACCTTCAACGAGAACGACTCAACGAGTGCAAGCAAGTTTCCTACAAAAAGCCCATGGCGATTTGTACGCCACAATAACTGTTCCTTTTTATTCCTTTACTTATTTTTTTCTACCTTTCTTCGCGAACTTGCAACTCTTCCTTGTACTTTGTCGACTTGGATATAAGTAAACCGATACCTATCTTAAGGGTGGTGGTTGTAAGAAACGAGCTTCTTAAGTGAACAAAATTAGTTGGTCGATTTTTCTTCAAGGTTTATTTTCTCGATCGATTCTTTGGTCACAAACCACTCACGAGATCTATCTTTCTGCTTGGACAGGCGTGATACGAAAATCGATCGGTTTCATTTAATATCATCTAGTTTTTGGAATGGAATCGGTGCCGGAACCAATAATTAGGACCATAAGACGTAAGTCCCACCGCTTGCCCGTTGCCCCGTATAGCTATAACTTCACCCACCTTTCTCATCTACCTGGCTCCTTCCAGACCTAACACATTCGCTCAACCCGCTCCATTCTGACATACCATCGATTTTACTCGCTCGAATTCATCCAAAAGATCCGACATTTTTAACATCCACCCTCTCTAATCTAACAATAAGAATTATAACAAATTTACTGTACTTTGAAATAACACTTTTTTACAGTTACAAATAATTAACAATTGTAAGGTTACATTAGAATTTTATATTATATATTGTTAAATAAATCTAATATAATCTAATATTTAATCTGCAAATGTTGTCAAATTTATTATCATTTCAAATTTTACAAGAGGAATAACATATTCGTATATGAGAAGTTTGACTCTCTTGAATTTCGGTCTAAATTGCGATGAGAAATATAAAACGAGAAAGGAAGAAAAAAGAAACCTTCCAAGATGAGAAAGAGAGAGAGAGAGAGATAAATAAAAGATGGTGGAAGAGAAAAGGATGAGAAGGTGAACTGTTGGAAACGATTCGAACCGAGGTGGGTCTGGGCATGGTGATACGCCCTGGGCGTGAGTCCAGTAATTAAATACAAAGTGAACTCATTTGTGGAGCTCGGTGGCAAATAACATGTTACCCGCCAAGTAGAGCTAATTTATGAGTGCGCCGTATGACGCATTACTTTTCGGCCCTCCACGAAGTCAATCTTTGCCATTTATACCTTTACAAAAGATCTACATTATGTGTCCATGAATATGCATTGATGGTCAATAGAGATGTAATATGGACATCGTGTAAAAATTCTAAATCAAAATGGATTGCCTGGAATTTCGATGAATTAACATTTATTTCTACTTTTCTTTAATTCCTTCTCTCAACTCCTCCTTATTTTACTGCGCTTGATCTTTCCTTCGCTTGACGAATTTACCTTCCATCTCATCAATAATTCATTAAGACGAACATGCCGATATGGCCCTGAAATACGTGATTTTAAAAACACACGAACACGTCAGACCAGAAAGATCAAGGGGAATAAGATCAATAGTTCTTAATCGAATCTTAGGGTTCTCAATTCTTCTTTCAATGAAAATTTTGTGAAGAACCAGTATACGTCAATAATAAGATTTTTTCGGTCAATAAATATTTATATAAGATATTTAAGTATGAGATTAAATTTTGTTAACACTTTGTTAAAACCAACGAATCATACATTCCGAAAAATGAATTTCGTGTTATCTAAGATATGAAAATTTAGACGAGGTGTGTTGTTTGACACGAGAACAAACTAACTCTCGTATTATTGTAGCAGTTATAGTTTCATCCTTGCCGTGTCTACTGTCGTGTCAGACGGACGAAAGAAGAAGAAGAAGAGGATGGAAAGAAACTTTCCAAAAGAAGAGAGCCTGTTAAGGTAGAATGCGTGCCGCGCTGATTCTCGGAATACAATTATCGCATTATCCGGTTCCGCTTTGAAATTCCTCATTTTGTCCTTCGAGGTGCGGTTCGCCGTCGCGGGAGCCATCGTTATACGTTGTTAAAGATCAACAAGCGTGCTACTATGCGATGTTTTCGAATTATCTTTCATCGAAAATGGGAAGAAGAAGTAGAAGAAGAAGATGAAGGAAGAAACTAAGAAGAATAAGAAGAATCGTAGGGTCAGTTTGCGTCTTCCAAGTTTCTTCTCTCCGTGTCTTGTCGGTGATGTGAACCTACTAATAACGGGACGAATAGTAAACAATAAACGGGAGACTCTCGTACGAACCAATCGAGATTGATAAATAACAGAGAAGCGAAAAGGGAATCTTATTTTCGGCACGAGATACATCCAAAAGGTGTCTAGGCTCGTTTTCAGAAGAATATAACCAGTTCGCGATTTCGACGTGTCGTTTCGAGACACTACATATGTATCCTTCCTGCGTGTTCTTCAGAACCATAGTTAGCCTAACTATGATAATAATGAACACTTTCGATAGGTGGAAATATATCGAGCGACTATCTTGTGAAAAAGGGACTTTTGAAACGATCCTTTCAAGCGGATTTTTTTTTGATAATTAGTTCGACATATTTTTTCGTTACTTATTTAACGAGATACAAATTTGGTGTATTGAACACACGTCATCGGCCACATTAGGTAATCTGCCGATTAAATATATGTGCAAATATCATTTCTACTCGATATTTTATTACATGAACGGTGATTTTTGTTATCCTACGACACTTTTAAATGGAAGATCATTGATTTTTGACCATAAATTTTTCGTTGTTTTCGTTAAACGATTCTCAAACAAATTTGTTCTAGCTCGTATAGCTATAAAATAATAGTTCAACGTGTTATTGACACACTATCATATTACCATTAGCTATGTCTCAATGTTGATCATAAAAAGTCAATCTTGTGGTTTAGAAATATAGGCACAAGCTTTCTTTGAAATCATAAAAACCAACAAAGTTAAGAAACAACAAATCGTTTGTCGGTTGATAGGGGTGGTCGATTCGGAACAGAAAAGTCGTAACCTCTTTTAAAGTAGGATAGCTGGTTTGTGAGCTGATGTTCTATTTTTTCCTAAAAAGTTTCGGACTATTAGCGATTACACCCAACCTGAAAATGGCGTATCGGTATGTGCTCAAATAACTAGGCGGCAACGTGATGCGATCAGACGCGACGAATGGTGAACAGCGATGGACGATGGGGGAAAAGAAAATAGTTTCACCATGAAATAAAGTTATTGTCCATAATCGGTCGTCCTAGCCGGAAAAGAGGCGCCGACGGGGATATTCACTTTGGTGGTCACCACCGGACGTGCTTGCGTTTGGAGACACCGATAGACCTCAATTTTTGATAATATACGTCTACCTTTTTAACAGCTACCCTAAACTTGTCTTTTTTATTCTTTTTTTTTTATTTCTCTAAAGAAACTACCTAACTTTCTACATCTACATTTTGGTTCACTTTTATAATTAAAAAAAAAAAAATAAATAAATAAAAGAATTACACAAGATAAATATTTCATTAGAAAGAAACAAAAGGGAGAATTCAATTATTATAAAAAGCCTTTTTAAAGCAAAGCAATATGATGAATTTACACGCGACGCGTGGCCACACATGGCATGATTTAAGATTACAAAAAAAAAATCTAATTGTAAGACGAAAAGAAAAAAAAAGAAAATCTTCAGCATCATTACGGACATAATATATGTATTCTAATATAGTAACGATCGTTGTTGGTTAGAGCCGCAGAAGGTAGTCGTAATTAACTTAACCCTAATAGAGCGTTT